GCCTTTTTTTAAATCAGTAATTGATAGTCCGTATATAGAGAGAGTAAATCGTTTTGGGTTATAGGTTGATGTTCTGTTTCATTTTGAGTGTGATGAATACATTGTTTTGCTTTAATAAACATGGTAAATAACATTTTAGGGGCACTAAATTTATATTCAAAATAGGAATTGTTCATATTTTAATGCTGAGCCACTGGCATCAATTAAGTATTCATACCATAGAGCAGGCTTACTAAATTCCTGGAGCTTCGATGTTCTGACCCTTTTAGGTGAGTCTCTGTTTTAATATGCTTATATAAATCTCCTTTAAACCAAATAATTTAAACTTGTTTATTTTTTCCAGACCTGTGAGATCTCTACTGTTGGGGTATTTTAGCTTAATACTGCTCAACATAGAACCCGTGTCGCTTTTTCACTTAATAAACACTTTAAGTGGGACCTCTTGGTGAAATGTCAAAGTTCTTCCAGCTCTCTGACCTGCATCCACACAAACATTGATGACAGAAAGTGAATTAGTCAGAAGATGCTTCCTAAAGGCTGAAGGTTCAGAGCTTCTACCATAGAAGCCCGTCTGGTAAACAGTTCAGCTTTTATTTCAGGCCCAGGTGGGAAACTTTAATGAATATTCAGTTTCTAAATAACAGAACCGACCTACAATTGACTTAGAACCTTCCTGACATCTAGAATGTCTATAACTAAATCTAAGCTGTAAAAAATAAAGAAAAAATACTTTTTTTTATAGAAAACATAAAAGAAATCACAGATGGATTTTCTTCAAAAGTTCTGAATAACTTCTAACCCCTTAATTTATGGCACAGATGACAGCCCAGCGCTCTTGGTCATTTCTTCATTTTGTTTGTTTCCAGTAGAATCCAAATTGTGAAGAAAATACTTTCCACTATGTTATCTGATAAATCACTGAAAGTACCATTTATGAGGCTGCGATATTTTAAACTTTTATAGAACACAGTCTTCTTTTGTTCATGTAGTTTTTTTTATTTTTACAGACTTTTTTTTTTCTTTTAGCTTGAATCATAAACTGATGATAATCTGTTAAACTGTAATTTCAATCCAGTTTATTTCTATAGCACCAATTCACAACAAAAGGTCATGTCAAGGCACTTTAGTTCAGATCATTCAATCAAATAGATTAGAAGTTTTCTATCTAAGGAAAACCAGCTGATTGCATCGACTCATTGACTGAAATGCAATCCCTCAAACTAAGCATGCTTGTAGTGACAGTGGAGAGGAAAAACTCCCTTTTAACAGGAAGAAACCTCCAGCAGAACCAGGCTCAGTGTGAGCGGCCATCTGCTGAGGCCGACTGGGGTTCAAGGAGACAGAAGCAGACATAGAAAAAGAAGCATAGATACAAACGACAACTGTAAAGAAAAATTTGAAATATCCTGTCCAGGGGTGATGCTGAGAAACTAGTCCATGCATTTGTTACTTCAAGGCTGGACTATTGTAATTCTTTACTATCTCGAAGTCCACAAACTGTAGTTAAAAGCCTTCAGCTGATCCAAAATGCTGCAGCCAGAGTTCTGATGAAAATGAAAAAGAGAGATCATATCTCTCCTATCCTGGCTTCTCTTCATTGGCTTCCTGTTAAATCCAGAATAGAATTTAAAATCCTCCTTCTCACATATAAAGCCTTAAATGGCCAAGCTCCATCTGATATCAGAGATCTGATTGTTCCTTATGTTCCTAACAGAGCACTTCGCTCTCAATCTGCAGGTTTACTAGTGGTTCCTAGAATTTCTAAAAGTAGAATGGGAGGCAGATCTTTTAGTTCTCAGGCTCCTCTCCTGTGGAACCATCTACCAGTTTTAGTCCGTGAGGCAGACACCCTGTCTACTTTTAAGGCTAGGCTTAAAACTTTCCTTTTTGATAAAGCTTCTAGTTAGAGTGGCTCAGGTTATCCTGAGCTATCTCTATAGTTCTGCTGCTATAGGCTTAGACTGCTGGAGGACATAGGGACCCCTTTTTCATCATTCTGCTTCATTCTATCTCTATTCTCCCACTCTGCAGAATCTGTTAGTTCAATCTCTAACGTTCTGCTCTCTCTGCTTTTTCTCATAGTAGCTTCATCTGGTCTGTTCCTGTTTGGCTGTGACTCAATCCTGGAGAGAAATATCAGCTGTGCTGCTGCCATCAACACCTTTGTTTCTAGATTTTCAAGACCTTCCTGCTTTTTCCGTGTAGTACTGTCTGCTTAAAATGCACAATTTAACAATAAAAAATGTAAAATGATAAATTAGATAACTAAATGTGAAAAAGAAATTATTTTATTTATATTATCATATATACAAGCAATACAAGGAGTTTTGGCCTAGTGGGTTAGAGCAGTACGCTTGTGTATTCTCTTATATTTTTGGGGTCACAGGCTGAAATACAGAGTTTAGTTGCATTAATGGTTTTATTATTTACTGGTATTAATGATGTGGAAAAGTAAGAATCAATAAACGGAGACAACAGGATAGATATTCTTGTTGGGGAGTTTATTTCTTTTTAATATCCATGAACCTAAAACCACATCATTGATGAATGTAAAGAGTGGGAGTAATGGATGTTGACCATGTTATACCGAGATGTCGGCCTACTGGTCGAGGGTGTAGGAGTAGTGAAGGGTGCCTCCTTCTTCTAGATGGCAGTCATAATGATAGGTCCCAGGCTTGAGCTGACGCTCGCAGCTCCCCACCAGATCATGAAAGAGCAGGTCGGCGTCGTGGACGTCAAGCTTCAGGATGTCGTTCTCCTGAGCATGGAAGTAGGTAAACTCCTCCTCCCACCAGGGGTGGATGGTGTTTGCACGAGTAGCGGTCTTCCCCAGGCTGGCCGTGCCAACGTACACCTTGACATAAGCGTCTGTGATTCCAAAAATGTCGTAAGGAAGGTCGCTGGCTCGAAGATCGAAGACCCTGAGCTGGGCCTGAGCCAAGCTGAGGGCGCACAAGACCAGGAACGAGACACTGAGGCTGGAGGCCATGACTGAAGGGAGGCTGAGGAGGAGAAAATCATCACAATTCATCAGGTTAATTCAAGAAACATGCTGGAGATTAATGCATCCAGACCAAAGCTATGCCATCATCTAAATGTCTTCACTATTTTATCTCTAAAAAAACAGAAGAAGAAGCTTAGAAGCTTCTTTAATCATGGTTTATAGAAACCGTCATGGTGAGACAGGTGTACTCTGTTCTTATCCAAAATCAGTTTGGTAGTTTACAAAAAGCACAACTATAATTAGTGTTGATGCGTTAATGTCTTACCTTCAGGTGGGAAATCCTCTTTCTCATGTCTTCATAAGAAGCAGATATTTAAAGCCCAGAGCCACACCCCCCCACAATAACACAGGCTGCTGTTTTCCCAGGATTATGCAACATGGCTGAGATAACAGCCTGGTGTGATTCTAGAGCTGTTTAGCAGATGGACTGGCTTCATTTCTCCGATGGAAACAGAAGATCCAAGCATTACTGCAACAATGAAAAGAGACAAACATCTGGAGATCACATCTGGTCTAAACTAACAGGCATTAGTTAACCTTTGATACTGCTCTCAAAGCAGAAGATCTCATAAAGAAACACATCAGAGTCCCGTCTTTCGAATGGATACCTGATTAGGGCAGCAGCTAGCAGGTTCTGCTGAGAGAAAACAAACC